CGTGGCACATATGTGGTCTGGACTGAGGTTGGTTTTTATACTAATGTATAATGAGAGCCAGTTTAGGCTCGTGTTAAAAGTACCAGGATAGAAACTAGATAGATTTCTTTGTCCACCTTAAAAAGAAAGCCACTTAGGTGACTTTGAGCCAGTCTTTTTTCCTCAGCCCTAGGAAGGAGGCAATGGCAAATCACTTTGAAAATCTTTCCAAGAAAAATACAGGGATTAGTCCAGGCAGTTGGCAGGAATCCAGATTGACTTGAAGGCACACAAAAAAATTAAAAAGTGCAATAGTATTTACACAGATGCATACAATTTACTTGTATTCATTAAAAGCCCTAAAATATTATTATTAAGAGTAATTTGCAGTTAGATTACAATTTAAGACTGGTGATAACTTAATAACTCACATCCTAACCAAGGACCAAGAATTACTAAGGTAGCACCGAAAGAACTAAACAGCTGCAAGCAAGGTGTTGTTTTTTAAAGTTAGGATGTTCAGGTCTGATAAATTCAACATTTCCAAATATTGAGGGACTCCTTTAGGCATTGCTCTGATTTTTATTATTTAATAAAATATTTGAAATAAATAAATATTTTAAATATTCATTATTATGTAATTTAATTTAAATACTTAATAATAGCAACAATACATTTTTATTATTAATTGGAAAAGATCATTCACAAGTGGGATGGCAATGTGAGTACATGGATACTTTAACTGTTTGCATCATACTTTTCTATGCATTCACCCCAGCTCTTTTAGTCCACCAAAATGTTTAACTCTGTCCCATACAAGCCTGGCCAAGATTTTCACTGTCCTCCCTTCTCTTTCTGCCCAGTATTCTTTCTTTTCCCTCTAAAATATTGTCTTGAGCAGATCATATTCTCTCTTACCAGTCTCCACACTCCCACAGAGTTTAATGCTTTACAAACCCAACATGCCTTTATTTCTGAGACAGAAAAGTATAATGGGGAAGGTTTAATTTGTTCATGGTTAGATTGAAATGTTTCTTCCATAACAATCCTAATGTTTTTTTCTTTGTTATTCTAAATACATTCATTCTGCTCTTTATTTTTCCTTTCCATCCCAAGAGGAAAACCTGTATCACTTCAAATCAGCTCATTTGACATCATAGTAGAGTAATGTGATATAAGTAATGTGATATATGCTTGGCTAGACGCAAAAATGGACCTGGGATTAACTGCTCCAATCGTACAATATGATGGAAGATAGAGAAATTGTTTTTATTAGTAATGTCATTTCTCAATGACTTTAAAAATCTTTAATATTTTTAAAGAAATTAAATTCTAAGGAGCATTGTCAGGGTGGGATTCTACCAGTTCGCACCTATTCACTAGAACCAGTTGTTAACATTGTAAGCAGTTCGGAGAACCGGTTGTTAGAAGAAATTACTGCCCTAATCCTGTAAGGAAGGCAGAAAGGAAACATTCTGGTGTTGCTTACAGAAACTACCTCTCTGTTAACCCTTATTACATTCTTGGCAAGACTAGACTTCCTGTCTCTGGAACTTCTCTGGAGTTTTTTTTTTCCTCCTTTGCTGGTACTTTACTTGTGTGGAGTGACCTTTCAAAGTTACAATGGAACTGAAAAAAGTGACTTATGACTGTTTTTCACACTTACAACTGTTGCAGCATCCCCACAGTCATGAGAGGCCAGGCGAGGAGATGCGTGCCTCGATGTGAGTGATGTTGAGTTGGCCACGCCCAGCCAGTAACATGACCACCAAGCTATGTTCACCCAGTCACATGACCACCAAGCCATGCCCACAGAACCAGTTGTTAAAAAATTTGAATCTTACCCCTGAGCATTGTTATTTAGGTGTTTTAAAGCCAGCTTTATTTTACCTGTTTATATTTTTGTCAAATTTCTACTTTTTAGAATTTAAAATCATCATTCAGGCAATGACTATAATATAAGAGTAGAAGTAAATGTAGAGTAGAAAATATAGTGTCAGACTTTTAAAATGTATTAGTTCCTTAAAAGAATAATAAGAATCCAAACAATCTACCCATTGTTAAAATTAAGATTTATTTAAAAACAATTGGTAAGGATGAAGTTGCACAATCCTGTTTTAGAAGAGCACATTCTTTATGTGCAGGACATACAACAATGCAACCAAACAAATCCATTAATATACACAAGACAAGAATTATTTTAAAGATATTATTATTCTGTCATCTACTGGCAATGTGCTTTCTAGTCATGTTTTCTGCCAGTCTTTACCAGTTTGCCAATTACACAAGCTGTTTCCTAGACATCAGACAAAAAATTCCACAAGACTGCTGTGCAAGCGCACCCTAATTAACCATCAGCTTAATTAGACAATTTACTGTGTAATTAGCAGGCAATTAGTCAACACCTCTCAGATCTTATTGACTGCTGTGACAGCCTTCTCTACTCTGTGCATTCTAACACACAACTACTACTACATTTCTAGCACTCTCGAATCCCTGTACTACACAGTTCTAGGCAAAGAGCAACATATGATATTATATAACAAATAGGGAAGGGGAAAACCATGTGTGTGGTCTATCTGGAGACTGAACTTTTTGCCAGCCTAAACTATATGCTGCTGTTTTAGCAGCTGCTCTCTCTGAGAGGGGGGTGGAGGGAGGGAGGAAAAAAGTATTTGCTACTAGGTCATGTTTATTTACAATCCAGCAAATAAAAAAGGAGGCTTACTCATAGTATTAAATCTCACTGATTGAGTCTAAGGGACATAATTCTCCAACCACTGAAAGGTACTTGGTTATGCTTATATTAACTAGTAGAGTCTCTGCATGATCAGATAGGAATTTTATCTTGCCATGTAAGAGATGCTTTTTCGACTAATGCTACATTTGGATGTATTTCAACAAGTTATGAATTCTCTCACAAGATTACACAATAACTTGCCCATTACAAAATGGATTTAACAGTTTATCATATTGCTACTTATCACCTCCTATGCTTACCCATTTCTTTAGCACACTTTTCTGTGACTCTGTTCACCTTTATCCTTGTTCTGGGCATCTGGATAGACTTCAGCTGCACACCATTTTTATTACTTAGGTACTTTATGGATCCATTTATTGACCCAAGCAGCCTGGCATGGGCCAAAACAAGTATTTGTAGGCATATTTAACTGTAATTTCTTTTTTAAAATATGACTGGTATTTTAGTGTGCATGTAATCCACATTGCTATATATATTTCTCCTCAAAATAGATATTAGATATTACTGAATGCATTTTCTTTCAAGATATGCTTTTTTGAGAAATATAGTTTGATATTGTGCTTTTGAACCAAGAAACTTATGATATTGGTGAAGTGAGACATCCAATAGATTTTCATTTTCTTTCTCACATTAATCCAAATGACAGTAATATTTATTGGTATCGAGATTATACAGATTTATTTTATAAACAATTGTATTCCTTAGATATTTTTTTTACCAATCAAATATTACATGCCATATATTTTAAGCCTTTGAAATCTTTTCAGTATGGAAAGATTTCTTTTTTCAATAGAAACTGCTGTTATTTTTTCAAAATAATCTAATCCATTGTATGTTTATAGAAAATATTGTTTTCTGAAATTGCTAGAAGAAACACTCATCCAAATGAACTGTAGTCACATCTATTCCATGAAAATAACTTTTTATAAACAAACATGTCATTTAGTTGACTAAGATATATAATAATGGGGCAGAAGTGTACAATCACTTTGTAGTGCTGAACGCCATCCCCGTTTTTTGAGATTATAATCACACTTTGAGAAAATAGTAGGAGTCAGGATTTTTGCTTCATCATAACCAACAGATAATATTCACATTTCTTTCATGTCACTGCAAATATAGAGGCAAATTTTGCAAAAAAAAAAAAAAAACCACAACAATGGCAACTTCATAAAGAATATTCTAAGTTTGTGTACTCATACAATTTTAGTTAAATATAGAGTGTTGAAAATCTGGAAGATTTATAAGAAACAGTACTTTGACTACAAATGCTAAGCAACTGCAAGAATATCTGAAGAGATGTTTTTAGAAGCTTGTGTTATTTTCTCACTTGAATACAAATTTGCTAACTCTACAATATCCTAAGGCAGTCTTTCTCAAACTGTTGCCTTCTACTTGTGCTGAACTTCAACTCCCATAAATCCCGTAGCTATGCTGGCAAGGGATTATGGAAACTGAAATACAACACTTTTAAATAATGCAAGGCAAGGGAAAGCTGCTCTAAGAAATCCATGTACCTGTCCTGACATTATTTGGATACATTCCATGCTAATTTTTAAAATCTCTTCTTAGTACCATTTCTATTTCATTGGATAAGCATAGCTGGTAGGGAACATGAAATATAGAATCCAACAATAATCAAAGAAATGTTTGATATAAACCAATACCGATTTGTTGAAATGCTGTATTTAAATAATAGTTATCTTAACTTAATGGTTGCAACTCATTTTTTTTAACATTCAAATATCAAGTAAGATTATACAACAAAGGATGCTATGGAATTTCTCAGGTTTCCTTCTAAAGACTTTTCCCACAACTAATTTCCCCTGAAAAATCAGTTAACAAGAGATCCCACCTACTCCTCTTCTCAGCCTCTCCCCCTCCAATCTTTTAGCTTTATTTATAGCTGATAATTGTATTTTTATAGCCTTTTACTCTTTTTATACACTATTTGTTGCATGGTTTTATACTTTTTAACATTGCAAGCCCACCCAGAACAATCATGTGGTTGAGAGGGTGGCGAATAAAGTATAATAAATAAATATAACAATTATAATCTTTAATAAAAATAATATTAAATTATTATTTAAAAACTCAAAGTGAGGAAAATAGGGGAATATTTATTTTTAAAACAACATGTGTAAGGATAGCTTGCAAAACGCCACCCCCTTCCATCTCTGCCTCCTTTCAAATGCAATATTGGTATTATTATTATTTTTCTTTGATGGTACTTAGTGGAAATATAAATAGCCTTTTTCCATTTGACATTAACTATCTGATTATTTTTGTCTCTCCAAGGAAAAGCTGTGTATTTTGTAGGAGCTACAAAATAAAGCATATAATATTTCTGCTTACTGAGATATCAACTGGCATTTAACTGCAAGTTAAGTGGTTCTGGCTATTGCAAACTATACTTTTTTTGAGTATCTAAAATCTCTCTCTTCTTTCTCTCTAACAAAAGGTAGAACAGTCAAAAACCAGTTCAAAACCTTGCTTCAGGTTATTTCTTAAAAGGGAATGAAGATTTTCTAAACATATTCTTCAAATAAATAAATACATGTACAATCTTCTGCAAATAAATAAATAAATACACAATCTGTGCAATATTCAGCTGTCAGTCTAGAAAAATAACAAGGGAAACACTGTCAGTAGTACGGGATAATAAAATTTCAAGCTGATGTTCAGGCTCAGGCTTTAATTCTCATGCAACTCCCATGATAAGCATATACTTACTTTATCACATGCAAGCTAGGCAAATTGAACTTCATCATTATAACTGAATTGTAAAATGTTAATATTTCATATTCTAACAAATTTCACAGAAAAAAAAACAACTTAGCTACGCTAAAAACATTAAGAATTCCACATTTTAATATTGTTTTAAATCATTTTCGGAGGGGTAGGGGACAAGCTGACATGAAATCTTAAACTGTAATAAGTATTTTGTAAATTACTGTGAGAGGTAGCAGACAAAGGAAAAGGGCTTTTTATTCTGTGAGTTCAACAGAAACACTGACATAACAAAGGACAGTGCAAGCTGTTGTGTTCCAGATCTTAGCGTTACAAAAGAGAGAGAGAGATGTCACCCATACTGGTCCCTATGGAAACACTATTAGTCGTAGCATGAATCTGAGTATCTATATTATAGAGAAATGCTTTTTCTTAGCATAATTAGTTTGTTCATTCAGTCAATGGTTCTAATTGGCAAGCAACCTTTGCAGGTATGTCATACCATCTATCTTGTTGTGAGTTTACTCTGCATTCTGCTTGTAAAACAGAGACAGTGTTTCTAAAGGCTGAACTGGACTTTAATCATTAATTTTTTAATCATTAATGAGATGGTTAGATAAAATATTGCATCAGGTAGATGCTGAATTTGGGTGCCAAACTTTTCGTTTAATTTTATTGGCTTAATTTTCAGACAGTCTTAAATATTACTCGGGCAGCTTCCTAAATTTTAGCCTCAGGTTGGTTTGTTGATTAGTAAAACCACACCTAGAGTACTGCATCCAGTTTTATTCACTACATGTGAGAGGGATTTTGGAGTCTTAGTGGACAACCAGCTAAATATGAACCAGCAGTGTGCAGCAGCAGCCAAAAAAGCTAATGCAATCCTAAATTGTATTAACAGAGGGATACAATCAAGATCAAGGGAAGTACTAATACCACTCTATAAAGCCTTAGTAAGACCACACCTACAGTACTGCATCCAGTTTTGTTCACCACATTATAAAAAAGTTGTTGAAAAAGTACAGAGAAGAGCAACCAGGATGATTAGGGGGCTGGAGGCTAAAACATACAATGAACGGTTGCAGGAACTGGGCTTGGCTAGTCTAGTAAAGAGAAGGACCAGGGGAGACAGGATATCAGTCTTCCAATATTTGAGGGGCTGCCACAGAGAGGAAGGGGTCAAACTATTTTCTAAAGTGCCTGTAGGCCAGACAAGGAATAATGGATGGAAACTGAACAAGGAGAGATTTAACCTGGAAATCAACCAATGGAACACCTTGCCCTCGGAAGTTGTGGGAGCGCCATCACTTGAGACTTTCAAGAAGAGATTGGACTGCCATTTGTCAGAAATGGTGTAGGGTCTCCCACTTGGGTGGGGGGTTGGATTAGATGACCTACAAGGTCCCTTCCAATTATCTGTTATCTGTTAAAACCTGGCTAGGGTTCAGATTGCATTGCAAATAACAGCTAATCTATTATTTCAATTTTTGAACTTTTCCTGAGTCACCTTTAAATGGAATGAAAATGCCCAAGTCTAAAATTCACTCAAGCTCACTTTTGTATAACTAAACCATAGTTTACTGTCATGTGAACCAGGCCAATATATGTTTAGGGGTAAGAGAGACAAAGACAATGCTTGAAGATTTCAACTGAAATTATTCCACATATTTATTTCAACGGGAGAGATTTAATGAAAGCAACTGCTTCTGTAAGTTATTAAAAGTGACAGCATCACAAATCAAAGCATGTCACCAATAGTGTGAAGACAGATTTCTCCGATTAATCAGAATTACATTTTTACCGATGAAAGAAACAGCTAAAATAAAAGAAAATATCTCTGGTATCATTTCTTTGCGTTTAAGGTTTCTACTCTGTTCACACTATCATATATTGAAATTCTAAAGAATGACATTTTTGCATTTCTTACTATTTTTATTATGTATTATATTATATAGGGAAAAAACACAAATATTGTCTAAGCTCCTATGTATAGTTTAATAAAGAAATAATGCAGCTATCCAACTTTCAGTTGAATTATGTGACTCATATCCATTAATTTGTTGATTAGAACGAGATATTTTTAAACTAATTCCTGGGACTGAAGAGCCTTTGTTACTAATATGAAAGCCATGAAATACAGGGAAATATTTATTATATTTTTCACCAGCAGGCAGAGAAAACCTACTTTGTCTTGGACACAGCTTTTATTCCACTCCCCACCAAGGGAATTAGGATTACAGAAAGCATGCTAGGAACTTTCTTTTTGCTCTTTTTATTTTTTTATTTTTGGTCTTTGCTCATATTTCTCCTGATTAGAATATTGATAGAGTTAGGTCTTCTCCTTTAGACTGCTTCCTACTAGAAGAGTGAATACATTTTCCTTTTCTTTCGCTATTTAAGGCAGAAAACTCCAACAAGCAGGTTTCCCATTACAGCATATAACTTGTTTAATGAACTCTGCTTGTCCGTTTTGTCTGTCCTAAATCTGTAGAGATTCTCTGTCATCCAGGTCATGGTTATCCCAAAGGTGCTTGTTCAGGAGGCAACTGGACTTTCTTTTTTTCCCTTTGAGGACGTTTTACTTCTCATCCAAGAAGTTTCTAGAATCAAGAAGTATCCTGTCAGAGCTGAAGAAGTTTCTTGGATGAGAAGCAAAATACCCTCAAAGAAAAATCAAGAAAGTCCAGTTGCCTTCTGTTCTTAGGTACCTTTAATGGGATTGATTCTAATATATTTATAATCTGCTAAATACACATTATGGTGAATGAATGGAGGATTTTGACTTCAACATTTTCCCTGCACTTTCAAGCATGGAATATAGTATCTAATCAATGCCAGATTCTTGTTGATTAGGTAGAAGAACAAATTGCTGATCTGCTTTTTATGCATAGTCATTCCTCACTGCAAACAATTCACAAAAAAATATGAAGATAGGCCAGTTTCTGAGCTGAGATAAAACCTTGGCTGGCTTGGAAGCAGAGGGACTTAGAATCAGGGGTGGGCTGCTACCAGTTTGCCCCAGTTCGGGAGAACCAATAGCTAGATTTATGGGCAGTTCAGTGAACTGGCAAATCCAACCCCTGGCTGGCCCCAACTACCCTGCCCCTCCCAGGAGTCCCCACATGGCCAGTTTGGATGCCAGGTAAATGCAGGGCCCACACGAGGCTCAAGAAGGGTGAAAAACAGACCTACTGGAGGCTCCAAAAAGGCAGAAATAGTCCTGTTTCTGGCCTCCAGAGGGCCTCTGGAGGCTGGGGGAAGTCGTTTTCACCCTCCCAGAGGCTCGAGGAGAACCTCACACATCTGGAGAGGGTGAAAAATGGACCTCCCGGAAGTTCTGGAAGGCTGGAAACTGGCCCATTTCTGACCTCCGGAGGGCCTCTAGAGCCAGGGAGGCCATTTTAGCTCTCCTAGAGACTTAAGGAAAGCCTCCAGAGCCCGGGGAGGGCAAAAATGCCCTCCCACCATGGTGCAGGAAGCCGACTAGGCCACACCCACCTTGGCCACACCCAACCAGCAACCTGGTGGAGAACTGATTGCTGATATATTTTGAAGCCCACCCCTGCTTAGAATCCAGCATGTCTATGTTTCTCTCAGTGGGTCTCCATGTCAATTCCATCATCTATGCTTTTTTTTTTTTACCTTCCTGATGTAAAAGACTGAGATGAATGAAGGGCCAGGAGGGAGTTTTCAGTGATAGAATGGAAGCCTTTGAAATCTTTCATTAATAGCCAGACCTTTGACCAGTGCTACAATCAGCAATTTGTGAAATAGCAATATCTTTGCCTCCAATTGGTGACATCTGGCTTCCCTACTACACTGAAGAAACCTAACTGAAGAGTCATATGTTATCAGCATTTAATAGGAACAGTGGAGCACATTTTAAATCTACTGGTAAATCTCCCACAAAGATTCAAAATTTAGAATTGGACAGTATCTATGCTAAAACAACATAATTTTGCAAAATGATATCAAGCTTTCATATTTTGTCACTTATGCTAGCTGCTGCTGCTATTATTATTATATCATCCATCAGATCTTCACATCAAGAGCTGTTGTTTTACTTTGCAAGAAATAACTGACAATCAATTTTCCACATCATCAGTGCTTCTTTGTAAATGTGTGTGGGGTGTACATTTGAAATTGTTGGTGACATTCACTCAGATAGGTGTTCCTTTGCACATAGACAAGCTTTAAGGGCTAAAGCAGAACATGAAGTCCTATACTAGATATTTGGGAGGAGAAAAGAAAATATAACATGCAAATTATATCCAAATTTGTTTTGGAATTTTACCCTTCAATTGTTGTTCTTTTTTTAAAAAAGAAATAATTTTTAAAAAGTCAAGGAAATGTATTTACAGTGCTGTCATTATTAAAAAGTATGTATATTTTTATAGATAAATGGGAAAAAAGAGTTAAATGAATTTAAAAACATATTTAATTTAATTCAATTATATTTAATTACGTTTCCCTAGATCCTTGCCACCTTTTGAGGTGGTACCCTTAGCAATTCCTCAGAATTTTAGAAGTGCCCATGAGGCTACAAACACTGACCATCCTCCAAAAATTTATAAAACTTCCCATGGATTACAAGTCCCAGCATGTGTATGCCAACTATCACCACATTTTGAATAACAAATGTTTAAAAAGATGACATTTAAAAAGATGAGTCCAGAAATGTTTCAGAAATACCAGTTTAAGAAAAACAGCATTTCATCTAGCAGTGCAAAAAAAATAAGGATGGTTTTTTTTGCCTTTTTCAAATGATTTCTCGGATTCAGAACTAAATGAGGTGATTTATAAATAAGATAAAACGAGGACAAATTATATTAAATTCTCAAGTCTTTTCTCGGATTCATATACTTCTTATCAACATACGTTGATAAAATGTGTTTATCAACAACAAATTTTTGTTGTTATTGTTATTGTTCAGAACAAAAATTGCCTCTGTCTGGAAAGGGGAAGGGGTGGTTAACCAGATCCAGCTTTGTGTAAGTTTCTGCAACACAGAAGAAATGACTGCTGAGCATAAATTAGTGATGGGAAGAATAAGCCAGTCTAACTTATTGAAAACTTTGAAGCATAGTCTGAAAGATATCATGTGTAAACCTATACCTTTATATTTGTGACTGCCATCACAATACTAGAGCTATCAAACAGATGAATTAAGAAGTGGTGAGGACACCTGCAATTAATTTCCTGACCTTTGACCAAAGGCTGATTTTAATCAGTTTAAGAGAAAGACGTTATACAATATACTGTACGTAATAAATAAGAACTTTACCTACTGCAAGCTATAGGACCTAGATATTGCATACTCTCAAAAAGCTAAGTGGGGTTGGTTTGTAGTTGGATGGGAGACCACTGGCTATCTCAGTATTATTAGCAAAAAATGATATGGACGTCTATGAAAGTAGACCCCATAATGAGGGTAACTTTAGTATTTTATCTTCAGTATTTTATTTCTAAATAAAAATATATCCCAAAGAATATATCAATTGCCAGTAGTGTCCAATAATAGAACTTTAAATCCTTTTTCTATAGTTGGCAACGAATAGTGAAGTAAAATCCACAGGGACTCCTTTTTTTAAAAAAAAAGAAAACCTCATCCTTTTCCTCTGCTGTTTTCCTATCTAAACAAGGAAAACATTTCAGTGATTCTAACAGACTGCCATCAACTATTAGGTTTTCAACAGAAAAATGCAAAAAGTTCATTTTGACCCTATCTTGGAAAACTATTATGAATAAGATAAATGCAATAAATGAGAGATTATTTGAACATAGATAAAAGACCACAAAATTCATTACCTTGTCCAGAGAAAATGTTTTGGTGAGTGCAAATGCCCATCCTGCTTCAAAAGCTCTGTGGATCATTGATGAACTTGTAGTTGGTGTTGCACTGGCGAGACCAAAAGGATTTGAAAACCTAAGCCCGGCCATTTCTATGCTGATGTCTACCAAGTCGATAGGTGTATAAAAAAGAGGCAACTGAGGTACAGCAGATACTGAGGTATCATATAAAGACTGTGGGAATAAACAACACAACAGTTTATGTACTTTATTCAAATACACCTTCCACAAATGAGTGTGCATCATTTCATTAAATACATACATACATACATACATACATACATACATACATACATACATCCTTTTAATTAGTTAATAAAATATTCTTGGCATGGTAAAATCCTCACTCATAATAGGAGTATCAGGACAACTCAGTGACCAAGTCTGTTTAGCAGTTTAAAATCTTGCCAAATATAAATAGAAAATTGGAACTATAAAGAAGTTTAAACTTCCAGAGCTTAAAGGTGTACATTTCCTACATTTAAGTACCAGAAGGGAGACATTTATGAACTATTTGGGAACCCTAATAGTCAGCCAGAATGGTAAACATGGAAGGGATTTGGAGACCCACCAAGATGCTCTTCATTTCTCCCCGGAAAAGATTTATGCTTCACCTTTTAAGAAAATAGTCTATTGCATTTTATGCAAGAAGTAGTTCTGTTTTCTCCTTTTAAAATGTGCACTTTTATAAGAATAAGATATTTTTGCCTTTTCTTTTTTTAAAAAAATAGGTGCATATAAATTTTTTAAAAAAGAAACTTTTCCAACTGTTCTGTAAACTACTTCAATGGAATTAAACTTCTTGAGAGGCTCCTAAAAACAATAATCACTAGAAGGAAAGATGAACCCAATTTCTGGATTTTTACTTAATACACAAAACCAGCAAAAATCACAAACAAACAAACAAAACAAAAAACCCTGCAGAAAGATATAAACCTAACATTTATATGCAAATTTTGCAACTAGTAATTTGTAGCATTATTTTATAATGATAAAGAAATCCGTACAGCTACTTACAAAAACAATGAAAACAAAGCCAAGTATTTTTCTACCTGGTAGCTAATGAGCTAAATCTGTATTGTTGTAGGAATGAAGTTTCTGTTCATGTAGATAATCTCTACAAGATAGATGTGTAGACTTTGGTGCAGAAGAGCCCTCATCACAATGTAACTCAATGTTTATATTTTCGTATTGTTGTACTATTCCAAATTCTGCATTTTTCACTTTCATCATATAAAATTTTAGAATAATCTGCAATTGCTTTTTCCAGTTGTGTTTTTCTGCTGCTGTCAACAGCAATCTGCCTATCACCCTGCACAATAATTCCTATAAAAAATATCTTGAGATATTACATTACACACATATAGAGCTCCCATCGACCACACACTATATTGGTATAACAGGGTTCAAATGACAGCATATATTAGGACTTTTCCTCACAGCCACATTAAAACGCAACCCACATTTCTTGAGGTGGCACAAACGTTTTGCCTCAGTAATGAGGGGATGATGGCTCTAAAATTTTAATGTGGAACAAGTAAAGCAATTAATGGATTCACCAACTTATTTTTCTCTCCCACCAAATGTCACCAACCAGCAGGAAAACATCCACCAGCCTCTCTCAAAAACTTGGGATAGAGATGGGCATGGATCTTGGGAGGAGGCAAATTTTAACAAAAGTGTTCTGCACAGATGCATTTAAAAATAGCCTTTTTGACATGCACTCAATTCTATTTTAGAACAGCACTTTTCTAGAACAGCACTATTCTGGAGTAGGATTAAACCCATATTTAAATGTAAACCCAACCAAGTTGATAAATTTATCTCTATATTAACACAAACTCTCCTAGATCTGTCAGCTGGAAAACACAATGGATCCAATAATTCAGGGTTATCAAACTCCCAGCCCATGGGTCAGATGTGTCACACGCTGGCCACCCATGCTCTGTTTACCAAAGGGGAAAGAAGTCCTGATATGTCATGTGACCATGCGAGTTTGACACCCCCACAATAACCTACTGGAAGCTGTAGCCAGGGGAAGAGTTCATTCTTTACCTACCAGATCTATGTTCTTTTGGAGCAGTTCTCTCAGATACTCCAATATTAGGACTAATGGAAGAATGTACTCATTCCCTATCAAATGAGCTTAGCTTTAATCCATGAGTTCCAACTTCAACACTTAACATATTAGTTTGCATAAGAAAAGCATTTAGCTTCCAGTGAGTGGTTTGTGCCATATTTTAATTGTAACTCCAATCTAGCCAAATTTGTGTTGAGAAAAGAGGGAGAACGCTACTTTAAAACCGGACCAATTGCCTCTTAAGCTCTTTTTAAATTATTAGTGGTCCATCTTTGTGCCACGGTTAGAGGATATGAAGAAGTCTTAAGTTTTAGATAGATAAAGATTCTTTCTGAAACATTCAGGCATATTTTCCTTCAACAAAGCAACAGCGAGATTCAGAAACTATAATTGTGATATCACAACTTGCAGTGGGCCAACCAGAAAACCACAGTATTCCTCCATAGCTATAATTTCTTCTAGAAGTCATTCTAGAAATATCTTTAGCTTAGCCGTTTATATTCAATCAAATTATTTCCTGCTTTTAAATGTTCATTACTTCATCAACTTTGGACCAAGCTTTTAGTGACCTGAAAAGGAATGAAGATATGAACCATTTTCTACTTCTATTTTGGACGCTCAATGCTGAGTATATGCAATGATTGGCTCCTATTCATTTATTTTCATATTTCTTTGATATTTCTAACAAAATAACTTTATTTATAGACACAAATTAGAACAATAATAAAACAGTATCTAGCATCAAATTACAACATGCACTATAAAGCAGCAACAGCAGCACAGCAAGCCAAATCCTGTTAAAAGTTAAAATTCAGTTAAAGGGCATTCAAAGGTTTTTGTTTTTGTTTTAAATAAGTAGTGATGGTTCACAGGAGCCTAACTCAGCCTTGGATATAACAACCAAAGAAACCGTGATATCTAATAGAAACAATGCATATAAAAAAGTAACAGAAGTGACGTGGTGTGCTCTAAAAGGTTTGTATGGGAGAGGAAGGAGTTGTGCCTTTTTAATAGGGAATACTACTCTCTGATCACATAAGATCAGCAAATGAATACTGACAGTAGCAAGAAAGAGAATAAGTAACTGTTTCCATCTGATTAATTACTAGGATTGTTGCCTGGCAAATGAAGAGCAGACAAAAGGAAATCTATAATGAGGGACCACTGAAAGAGAAGGCTACACGTTGAGAGCTGTTCGACCTGTGGTTTCCTAAGACTAGCGTTTGTACATTTTCTCTGTGATGTCAGTTTTCTGTATGTAGATTACAAAATACAAGAATCTCAACCTACAACAGAGCACTGGAGAATAGAAAGTTGAAATTTCTCCCTCACTTCATTCTATTAATGTCTGGATTCTTGAAAATGGGAATGGAATCTAACATGGATTCCCTTGAATCGAGTGACTTGAAAGACCATATTTCACAATCACATCTACCCAATCCTACTGGCTACTGCAGGATGGGTATGTTGAGGGTCCTGTTCATGAAGGAATGTCATCTGATGGGACCCAATAGACCTTTTTCTATAGCAACACCAGCCCTCAGGAAAATCATTCCCCTGAGGTGTGACTTGCCCCAACTTTGCAGACTTTCTGAAAGGACCTGAAGACACAGCTTTGCCATTTGGCCTCGGGAATCCAGTAATGTGGGCATGGAGCTTGCAAAGTGGCTACATTGCTGAGGAAATTGAGTATGCCTTCATACAGATTATGAGAATTTTATGGTTGTTAATGTTTTTAAAATATTTTTTATGTTTGAAATTATCTTTTGTATTGATTTGTGTTTTTAGCCTTATATAAAAATACCAAATAAATAAATGAACCAATGAATCTATGGTGTCTTCCTCCTCCTTGTTAGTTCTACAATTTTGGCAAAAATGCAGCGATACTTACACTTTAAATATCAGAAATAAAAGGAATACCAATTTACAGTTCACTTACCAAAATTCCTGGCAATGTATTTTAATAAACACATTTATCCCTTTCTCATTGTTATTGGAAATATACTAAATGGTATGATGCCCATTTTCCTCCTACAACTTCAAAAAATGACATGTTGCATCAATATCCCTTTTTCTGTATGAGTTTACTGCAACAATATTTCTCTGAACTTCTACATCTAGTTAACCAACTTCTTTTTAAAAGTGTCATCCCAACCATTTTTTTTCTTTCTTTCTATGTTCACAGCTCTCCTTACTCTATTATTTATTATTTAATTCTGTAATTGCATTATTTACAGTCAGTCAGGGATGCATATTATATGAAAGTCCTATTCAAATTAAAATTGTATTATACTGCAATATATTATGCTGTGGCTCTGGATTCCTCAAGTGACTGAAGAACATATTCTAAGAGATACACATATTTTGGCTTACAGAAGTAAAATAAACAAACTGGAGTGTCTAAAGGAAGTGAATTATTACTATTTCCTCCTCCAATATTTCTCCTACAATAATTTATGTTCAAATTACTTCTGAAATACTGTGAAAGAAACAACTTCTGGCAAACCATATAAAACAGTTCATCTATTATTTGTCAAAAAAGAATATTTTATGTAATGTAACATTAACACTTTGCTGTTAAAGTATGCTAACGTGCATCTTGCATTTTGAGTGAGAGTTTAAGTATACCAGGTCAGCATCTCACCTACCAGTTACTTAAGAGTTTAATCCAGCCATCTTTCAAAACCTTCCTTAAAAGGTCAAAAAAAACCTCATACATTTTGAAGTTTCCTCAATATAGTCTTAATTTTTGTTGCCAAATCAAATATCAAAGTACTTCAGACTAGTTTCTCCTCAAACCTTGCACCAGATTTGAATTAAATCATGTCTTCTTTGAATATAAAACCTGTAATTCAGATTGAATCAGGACTGATTCGCATAAACCTAGTTGAAATGGGTTGACCAAAATCTTTTCTTAATGAAGAATATCTAAGTACCAGTCTCCTTTGAATACATTATTATTTTACACTGAAGAGAATTCAATACAGAGAAATATATACATGCCGATGAAAAAGAAAAGCTGAGATGTTATCCCTACTCAAAATAAAATAAAATAAAAATTACCACCCTATGATGACCTGCCTTTAAATTACAGCTGTCCCAAAATAATGCCCTCTGTTCCAATGACTAAAATTGCAAGTGGCCCAAATACTGAAAAGCAATTGCCAAATTATAGTAATTGCCACCCCAGCAACCAGATTTACTGAAACCGCACACCCAAATAAATGCCTTGTGGCTACCCATTCATCTAGCAGCTGGAAAGATGACACTTGACATTTGGAAACTTTCCTGTGAAGATTGCTGGAAGGCTTTTCCCATTAGCTTCATGGTGAGATGGTAAGGTCGAATAAGCCCCCTCAAAATCTGCAAAGGCCAACGGAAACACTGTAATATTAGGCATGGTTGATCTAAAATTCCAATTGACAAGTTATATGAGTTTTCCTCCAATGCTTTTAGTATATTCACGTTTCAGGGGACATATGTGCTTTATTGTGCAGATCAAGATCCAACAAGGCATTTGCAAAACTTAAACAAAATATCAAAACAACAGCAAGAAACAAAAAGGAAAAACAAAACCTACTTTAATTGAAATGTGTGATTCAGTCTTTATCCTGAACTGGCATTACCACAAGTTTATCACAGCAAGCATTATGAATACAAAAGAATGTCTATTCAACACAAGTTCTCCCCAGGGCTGTGTCCAAAATCTGCTGTTCACCCTGTAGACCCGTGACTGTTATGCAAGGTTTGTCACCAATCTTATTGTGAAATACATGGATGATACAACAGTAATGGGCCTTTTTCAGGATGACAATGAGAATGCTTACCACAAGGAGGTAGAGGGTTTGGTGAACTGGTGTAATAAAAACAGTTTTGTTTTAAACGCAAGTAAAACTACAGAGATCATCAGATTTGTTTTATTTCAATGGCTGTGAATCATAGTCATTCACAGCCCGTAATGAGTCTCAAACAACTTGTAAATAGTCCCACAGAAGTCTGCCAAAGTCGTCTGGGATAAGTCTGATAAGCATGCACCTTTTATCTTTCTTGAAATGCTGCCAACGACTAAATTACCAATTAGTTGTACAAGACCAAACGGAGCACAAATTCAACACGGAGCTTCAGGTTTCAAACCAACTAGTACAAAGTTGCTTCCTGCAAAGGTTCATGTACCTTTGCTCCTCCTTTATGTCTTAGAGAGGGCCAATCACTTCCAAGCTTTTCTCCTGAGTCACCCCTTTTATCTTAACTGTTCTTGTCTTCTGGCAGCTCTGCGCATGTGCACCCTGGGAACAGGCTCCCCTGCTCCTCTGCCTCGCTGATGTCAGATTCTGGAGGCTCCAGAGTCGGCACATAACTCCCAGATGGCCCTGGCCCCATCTCTGTATCAGACACAAAACCCTCGTCCAAGTCCTCCCCAGACTCCCGAACTGGTCCATGTTCCTCCCCACTATCCGACTCCACTGCCATCTCCACAGGCTGCTGGCGGACAACAACATTGTCAATTTCAGAAAAGGCAGGGACAACCACACACCTCTGTGTATTAATGATTCACCTGTGGAGGTGGTTAGCAACATCAAGTTTCTGGGTGTGCAGCTAACAAGTAGACTAGCTTGGTTGCTCAGCAGTGAGACACTGGTGAAGCAGGCACAACAGTGCCTGCATTTTCTCCATAGCATGAGAAAAATTCATCTTCCTTCCCCTGTCCTTACCACTTTCTATTAGAGGTACAACAGAGACCATCCTGTCATATTGCATTACTGTCTGGTTTTGAAGCATTACTATTCAGACAGGAAGGCAGTGCAGAGAGTGGTGAGGATTGCAGAAAAAATTATTGGTAGTTCACATAAACGATGTTTGAGCTGGGTCCGCAGTATTGTCTGGAACTATCACTGTTCATTTTCAATATATTTGGGTATATATATATATATATATATATATATATATATATATATATATATATATACATACACACACACACACACACACACACACACACACACATATGTACATGTTTATAGTGTGTTATATATGTGTATGGGTAGATATGTTCTTTCTTTTGACAGCAGGCAACATAATTTCATTATTACTGTGTGCCAGTGTGCTCACAGTAAAAAATGACAATAAAGGTTCTTATCTTATCCTATCTTATCTTATCATCTTACCTCACCTCACCTTACTTTAATGTTCTGTATAAATTATGAAGTTTGATTGGTAAGATAAGAGAGGGCTTGAAACATTCAGCTCTTAAAGGAAGAGTTGGTTATATGTGTAAACAAAATGAAATTACTGAAAACATATTGTGGACATATGCTAAATGATAACAGTCAACTGTATCTCCATTGCATGTCCACACATGTTTTATTTGTGTGTTGAATGCTTTAAGATGTTCAGTGCCAAAAAAATGGTTTATTTTGCTAACTCACTTGCCAGAATCTGCCTGATTAAGTCTAGAATTGGTAAAGGAGGAACCATTATCAGAATATGGGTCAACTACTCTTACTGGTTTCCAATAAATTATTTTTTTTAATATGTAATATTCCTTTAAATGACAGAAAAATATAATCAAAATCATTTTAATATTTTTAAACTAAACATTCCAAATTTCCTTAATCATTCTTTTTCATATGATTTAGTTTTCAGTCTCATTATCATATTGCCAAATTTCTTTGGACTAGCTGAGTTTCTCTGAAAATTTTCTCATAATGCCAAGAACTCAGTACGACAGAAGGGAACTATTACTTAATGATCATGAGATAATAAAAATAAGGAAAAGGAACCATACTTGTATTGATTCAGTCTAAAATTGTGTTTAATTTTATTGCAAACATTTTGATGACTCATATTCATCTCATTGACAGGACATTTAAAGGAGGATATAGGATTTTATTACTAAACATGATAACATCTTCTCTTTTATTACTATCATGTCTTCAAGTTGAATTATAGAATTACACTTTCATGCTTTCAGTATTTGAAATCTGTGATATTTGCAATCATAAACCAAGTGGCTAACCCACCAAAAAAACCCTCTGTTCTTATTTCAGTTGACAGACATTTAAAACATATTCATATCTTCACTTCGCTCACATAAAGCCAGTTCACTTTACTGCTACAGACGGCTACAACAGCAGCCCCCAAACTTTTGGGCGCCAGGGACCGCTTCCATGAACAGAGGTTTTTCCACGGACTTGGAGGGGGTGTGGTTTTGCATGCTGTTGCATTCCACAAATGGGGCTTTGCTTATTTGTGCAACCCAGATTCTAGCATGCTGTGAACTGGTGCCATGGACTGAGGGTTGGAGTCCATGGACTGGGGATTGGAGATCCCTATGCTAGAGAATACCAAGTTTGTAATATAGATGAGAAGTTGAAAAAAAATACTAGAAGAAAGTAATGACAAACCAGTTCTATTCTGCTTTTTGGAAAACTATAAGGATACTGTCAAACAGTTATTGAAACCTGAGCTCAAATTGAAGCAATGTTTATCTATCCACAGGCTAATGGCAATAGCAATAGCACTTAGACTTATATACTGCTTTATAGTGCTTTACAGCCCTCTCTAAGTGGTTTACAGAGTCAACATATTGCCCCCAACAATCTGGGTCCTCATTTTACCCACCTCGGAAGGATGGAAGGCTGAGTCAACCTTGAGCCTGGTAGGATTTGAACTGCCAAATTGCAGGCAACCGGCAGTCAGGAAAAATAGCCTGCAGTACTGCACTTTAACCACTGCGCCACCAATGCTAATGGCAAGAGGTATATATCTAAGAAATGTTAACATTTGCTTTATGAACATTTCCTTGGTTTCAGTTGCAGCAGGTATAAAGTTTCTGAATATCGGAAGTCGTCTTAAAACTTCTTTTCTTTTCTAAAACTTCTTTTTTTTTGTTTCCTGCTCATTTTTATTATTTGAATCATTTTGAACTCAAATTATTTCACTTCATTCTCTCTTTTGTCCTTGTTTTTTTTAAAAAAAACAAATGGAAATCATTCGCCCACACACTCCTATACACACCAGACTACCTTTATCCATATTGCTCAGCTTTCAGTATGGCTCCAATTTTTTCATTACATCACAGGCTCCTCTCATTTTTTCTTCTACTACTTGACAATGAGAAGAAAGAGACTGGTGCGAACATTATTTACAGAACTGTACAGCTCTAATTGCATATTTGCCACAACAATCTATAATTATATGTCTCTGAAAATAGTGCAGATAAAAGTTAACATTTTCCTTGTATCACTCCTCAAATGTATCACCATGCCATCTTTGCAAAAGGAACACCAAAAAAATTAAAATAAACCTGACAAAAATATTTTGTTAGATTAATCTTTTAAGATCATAGAGATAATATCTAAGCCATTTATGGTCAATATGGTATATTCCAACTTTTTATTTCAGAATAATGAATACCTAGTAATACACCTTAATTATTTATTTTTAAAAAAGAAAAGTACTTAAGGGTATAGACTTAGAACAATCCAAATTTCAAAATCTCAATATTGACAATAAGTTGAGATCAGTAAACACCCTAAGTATATCTGGACCAAACTGTATATTGCAAAGAGGTTTAATTGAATATTTTCCCATTGTGCAATTTTAAATAATACGGTAATAACAAAAAAAGATTTGCACTTGTTCAGATGATTTAAAAACTCGGTTGTAAATAAGTTTGATCAAAAGAATTAATACTCTTATTTGGCCTTTTTTTTTTAAGTCACAAGCAATTTTAAAACAAGGATTGTCCCAGAGTGTCAGTTTGTGAAATCAAAGGGCAGAATGTATGAGCCTTTCAAAAGCAGTCAGTAGAATCTGCTTGAGTATGTTCCTTTTTCAGCGAGGCTCTCCTGCCTAACTCCTGTTGATCTCTTGTGTGACTGTCAGATATATCTGACAAATAGACAGGTTTCTCTTTTCAGATGCCTATGTTTTATATTTTATGGATTTTAGAAACTCCTGGTGTGATAACATCTCATACATAATAATTTCTGTTCCAGAAGATAATGCTAAGGATTTTTTTTTAAAAAAATAGATATTTCATGTTGTTCAAGGCTGCTCTGTATTAATATATGTAAGCTGTCACCCCACCACTAATTACCTGAATAAGATGTTGTAATGAATGGGCAAACCAACTTTTTTGTTTTCACTTTCAACCAAACAACTGTCAAACCCCACAAGAGGTGGGCAAGACCAAGAAAGCAAAAAAATGCATATATTTCAATAAGGCTCAGTTGGATTAAATACAAAATCATGGACACGACAAAAGAAATTCCCCAGCCTTGTTTAGAGTGAATAAATTAAAGTGAAGAAGACTCTGTGAATATTTTGAGATATTTTTCCCAGATTTCCAGCCACATGGGCTGAGAGGTTGTAACTAACTTGGCCATTGCTATTATTTACATTCCTTTCCTATAATCTAATATTATCAATATACAGTAGATATACCTCATGTCCAGTGGTGGGTTTCAAAAAAAATTACTACCAGTTCTGTGGCCGTGGCTTATTTGGTGGCTGTGGCTTAGGGTCAAGTCACTGGGTGGGCGTGGCTTGGTGGTCATGTGACTGAGGGCATGGTTGGTGGTCACATGATTAGCTGGCGTGGCCTGGTGGTCATGTGACTTGAGTTGGGTGTGGCCAACTCAATGTCACTCACATCAAGGGGTGCCTCGCCTGGCCCCTCCCCTCCCAGCCATTCCTTGTCACACCCAGCCTCAACCTATCTATAGTTCTGTAAAAATGTTGTTCACCTTTTTTTGACTTTATTATCTACATACTATAGATGTACTTTCAGGGACCACTGAAAGGAGGAAATGGCTCACATGCTTTGCCCAAGAGTGTGGCAACAGGCTTTTAAGGGGCTGCCAGAAAGAGGGGGGCAATGTATTTTCCAGTTTCCAGGATGGAAACTGAACAAAGAGAGAAGCAACCTAAAAGTAAGGAGAAACTTCCTGACAGTGAGAACAATTAACCAGTGGAACTGCTTGCTACCAGAAGTTCTGGGTGCTCCAACATTGGAGGTTTTTAAGAAAAGACTGGACAGCCATTTCTCTGAAATGGTATAGGCCCTCCTCTAAGTGTTATTCTGTTATTCTGATACCTTTCTCAGGACCTCTACTCAGAGTTTGGCATCCTCAGAGTTTTCCTGCCTGAGCAGGGAGTTGGACTAGAAGACCTCCGTAGTCCCTTTCAACTCTGTTAAACACATCTGTATTTATACTCTGGACTATGCACATTTAATGTATGTAAACCCTGAAAAATACCTGGGCAAAAGAAAGGCAGTAAAATCACTCTAAGTGTACGGACACTGTAAAATATTAATATATGATAACTAAGGAACAATTAAAAATAGCTGAGAGAGTTTTCTCTCTCTCCCTTCCTATTTCTTTTTTCTTTCTTTCTCTCCCTTCCTCTTTCTTTCTTGCTCTTTCTTTTTCTTTCTCTCGCTTCCTTTCTCTCTTTCTTCCTATTTCTCTTTTCTTTCTTTCTTTCTTTCTTTCTTTCTTTCTTTCTTTCTTTCTTTCTTTCTTTCTTTCTTTCTTTCTTTCTTTCTTTCTTTCTTTTTCTTCCTCTTTCTTTCTTTCTTCCTCTTTCTTTCTAGCTCTCCCTTCCTTCCTTCCTTCCTTCCTTCCTTCCTTCCTTCCTTCCTTCCT